GACAGGTATAGGAGTCAATTGGAACAGTTAGCGAACATGGGTTTCATGAACAGAGAGGCCAACCTTCAGGCACTGATCGCCACATTCGGTGACGTGAACGCCGCCGTCGAGCGACTCCTTCAGCCCCAACAGTAGTGATTGAGTTGATTGTCGTTGAATATAACATTACCAATGATTTGAAACAACAGAACTGATGTCAACTCTTTTTACTGCACTTATATTTTTATTTTTTGTTTTTATGGGATTTTGATTCTGAAAGTAAAGACAACAAAATATTTGTTTAAAAAAATTTTTCAGCAAATATTTAACTTATAATAAAATTTAGTAAATATTTAATAAATAAAATAAAAGATTACTTTTTAGTTGAAGATTGTAAGCGTCGGGACGAACGCCTGATTCCATCGATTTTGTATTTATAACGTTATGAATGTTTCTCACGATTCAAGTCGTGATTCATTTAAATACTTTTAAGTCAAATAAAGTTTTCTTTATACCAGTTATTCCGTTAGCTCTGGAAAAATGATTTCCTCGAAAGCATAGCTTAATATTAATTTAATCCTCATTTTATCGCATTGTTTGAAATCCCTATTATTTATAGAGAAAAAATTATTTAAATTCTAATTTAAGTCTGTTTTACATAAAACCAATTTTCTATGAATACATTCAAAGTTGTGGTTTAAATCAATTAATTTGACAAATGTTTTGTTGCAATACTTTTGCATTTTATGACCTTAATTTGTTAATTAGTTTTCATACCAATCAGTAGTGTATAAATTCAGTTACAATTAAGTTTGGGATTGAATTTCCGATGGGAGAGACAGTACTGCAGTAAAGAAAGTGTTTTAACTATTTATGATGTGATAATAAATAATGTAATCATTACCAGTAGTGTCTGTGTTATGGTGTTTGACAGTTAATTATTAGATCAGTACTTATCGAGTGAAACATAGATAAGACAAAAATTGCAATTAATTGGAAAGCGATGTAAGGGTTGTGATGACAGACGGAAGTTATGAAATGCACGTCTTATTCATATAAATAAGGTGTTTGTAATACATTATCAGTAATTATCACTAAATGATTAGTCATTTAGTTGTTAGCATTGGTTTAAAATTAGCGCTCAAATGTGGGCACAAGAAGTGCACAAAGAATGACCACAAATGATGTGATGATCACCACTATTAGGTCATATAAACTTGCTTTTAGGGCCTCTCTCTCACACACACACATTGATTGAGTCGAGGGACGAGTTTTGCATCTTTTCAATGAGTATTCAAAGCCATAGAAGAGTGTATTATAGAGTATTAGCTAATGTTAGGCAACAAAAGCAAAGCACATATCGATTGCTTCACTTAAAGCTAACGCTAGAGTGAGAGTCAGTATTGTATTGGATGTGAGAGAGTGTGAGTGAAAGCAGTTGTTGTGCACCTAATCATAGACTGTGTTTTGCAGGCAAAGGTAGGCAATGGTATGCAGTGTTAGGCATACCATACCATACCATACCATCTCTTATCATAACGTTTATTAATTATTGCTTACCTGTTGTGTGTCTACACAATACCACAACTGCAACAACAACCACAACATCACCGATGGGTATGTCTTTGCCATCGATTCTTACATGATTTGACACTTGCTTTACACGACAGACACCTGTCATTAGAGTCCGTGTATTGTTTGCAGTAATTGTTTTTAAATTCAAAAACAACAAAACTAGTAAAACATTGTAATTATACTATTATTTACAACTTATTAGCCGTTTATACCCTTATAATGAATTCAATGCATGACTTTTGGCTTAACGTAAAATGCATTTGTGTTTTGCTTTGCATTCAATAATTAACTATTATTTTGATTGTCTTTTGTGTTAAACATAACGTTAAATATCATATCATTTCGTATTCAATATTATAACAAACACTGCATTTGAAAACTAATTAGTGATTCAAAAAGTTTTGCACATTTTATGCAATTTTAAAATTAATTTTTTCATTATTAATAATATTAACAAAACAATTAAAATGTATTTTTATTTGTATTGATATTTCAGATATGTTTTGACAACTAATCGTTTGTTTATTTGGATTTTAATAAATCATCAAAAAATATGTGAAAAATATATAATGAATTTTATAAATGATTTTATTATAAATTGATTTTTATCGTTAAGTTTTTTGTGAAACAATATTTTTAATCGTTTAATAAGTTTTGAATCGTTTTTACAAATATTTGTTGTGAAATAAGTATTAATATTATTGAAACCCAAAATCAAAACCATTTGTTAAATCAATAATAGTTTTTATTGCAATAACAAGACGTGTAAAGCAATGATAAGATATGTTTGAATGAATCAAACGGTGGGTAATAATCATAGTCTTGGAGACATTCTTCCGATTCTGACGCCAAATGATATTTTGTTTGTTTTAATGATAACACGAGTCTTACAACAAGTTTAATGTATTTGACAATTAATTGGGCTTTAAGTGTGACTTTTGGCCATTTGTTACTACTGTTGACACCGGTATTACTGACCGTCCAATTAGTGTCCGGATATGAGTGTCTGGACAAGAGGTGCACCTGTATGTGGATTAAGGGTAAACTGGCAGCCGATTGCTCCCTCCAGAAGCTCACACAACTGCCTCAGGTATGACCACATGTGACCACTGATGACATGTTGTCGCATCTCATATGTTGTTGTCTTCAGGTCTTAGGTTCATCAGAGGATTCCAATATACATGTGATTAATTTGACACGAAATGACTTCAATGAACTCAAAGCCAATATATTTTTAAACTCAAATCTAATTAATTTACAAAAAATATATCTCCCGAAAGGTTTGAACCGTTTTTCAAAATGAGTTTTTAATATTAATTTGAAATTTAATATTAATTTTTTAGTCGGTTTGGAGAGAGTGGACGACAAGGCGTTTGTGAAGCTTAAAAATGTAGTTGAATTGGACTTAAGTCTAAATAACCTGAAATACATTCCCACCCATTCATTCACACCGATGGCTAAATTACGGACATTAGACCTCTCATCAAACCTGATCCCATCGGTTCCCAAGCATTCATTTTATAATCTCTCAGATTTAAAGACATTATCACTGGAGAGGTAAGGATTTGCTATAAATGATATAATTATATTGAGTGACCAATTGTTGGATCATTTTGTCAGAAACCGCATCACATTTATCGACGACAATGCATTTGAGGGCCTCTTACGACTGGAATCACTTAAACTGAGGTAAAGAAATGGCATTATCTTCACTCCATTTCCACATAATTTTATACTTAAGACTCAAATTTCATTTGAATTTTAACCCATATTTTATATTAAAAATTCTTGAAATGGAAAAATTGAAGTGAAATGTGAAGTGATTGTATCGATAAGACATTAATAATACCTATTTATTACATGATATGTTTCAATTGCAATCGACTTCAAAAACTTTTGTATCATTACTTATAACACTGGATATGATATGAAATATATGATAAGTTAATACATTTCTTTTTGATTGTGAAACTATAGCCAAAATGAATTAACATATATGGAGAGCAAAGTTCTGATGCCATTATCACTGATCCATTCATTGACATTAAGTGAGAACAATTGGAAGTGTGATTGTTCTCTGCGATCGCTTCGCAAATATCTGTTGGCCAACACTCGGGTCAGTGTTATAGACGAACCCAAGTGTACGGAAAGCTATAAAGTGTGGACCCAATTGGGTGAGCAGTTTATTATTATAAATGTTTCCTTTATTTACAGTATATCTAACATTCATTTAGTGTTTGATTTAATGTTTATTTTGTTTGAAACGTTTTGCCCAACAATTGTATAAATATTATCTTAAATTCTTATCTCAATTGCATTAAACAAAAACACAATTTGATTCATTCAAAATAGGTTTGGATTCGTTTCTATGCGTTCCTGTGATATCCAATTATAGGTAATGTCATGTCTTATGCTTAATGTCTGTTTCGTTTTCATTATTACAAACCAAATGATAATACAGTATATTATTAGTTCAATACACAAATGCAAACAAACAGACATTACATTAACTCTCCATTTCAGTACATAATTACTCGTTATATCCTATATATCCATAATATAATTATTATTCTCATAATTATTGTTCACTATTTTTCCGATCGTAAAATTCAATCACTTATTGTTTGCGTTTTGTCCGCAAATATAATTAAACTCAATGTTATATACCGTTAGATTTGGATCACTTTTGTAATTCACGATTGCATTACAATTTTAATCATTACAATGAAATGCATTGAATAATGGTTTTTGATTTTACACTCAATTTTTTAAAACGATTTTTTTAAGGAAAACTTTCAAATTAAAAGGGATTTTACGCTTAATTACGCTAAAGAATAGCTGAGAAATTGTGAATAAAAAAGCAGTTGAATAATGACTGCATATATTTAACGTGATTTTGGATTTTTTCAAATAATAATTAAAACTATTCGTTACTAATTTTATTTTTATCCAACATTTGAATACTTTTGGAACCATTTTCGAGAATTTAATTAATATTTTGATTTATTGATATATTTTTCATATACTTTGCAAATTAGTGTCATTTATCAAAACAAATTATTAAAATTTTATTTTTTTAAATAATATCTTTATATCGTTTGTAAATATATTAAATTTTTATGATATTTTTGAAATATATCAGTAATATATACAATATATTTAAATGAAAATATCAATATTATATGAATGGTTAAGATTTCAATGCAATAAAAATGATTTCATTATTTGAATGAATTGATTCTGATGGTTAATAATCTCATGGATAGCAAAACATTATAACACTTTGTATGAAAGAGCAATGACTTTTGAATACAATTATTATTATTACTGAATTTCCAATTTGTTTATTTAACGAGAATTTTAGTCTCTAGTAATGACTTTATTATACTCTTCATAACTGAATTGATATCGTTTTCCTAAAAATGGCATTGATTTCAGTTTTCATTAGATAAATATGAGAAATAATTGTCTCGATTCTTGTAATTGATTCTTGTTTTCACAATTTTTGAACATTATATTTGAATAGCATTCAGAAATTCTGAATTTCAGATATTGTTACAAATGATTAAATACAAATACTATAGGCATTGACTTTGAACTTATTTGTGTTATTTTTAATGATATTATTAATACATTTATTGAATAATATTTATTTTCTGATTAAAGCTCTGGGAATGAGAAGGCAGTCGAGGGCTCGACCTTAAGACTTGATTGCAGTACTGTTTTGACTGAAGATGAGGACTCTCTGCCCCTAACTATCCAATGGTATTGGAGAAACATTCACATCACTAATAATAGCAGAGGTTGTGATTATGATTGTCGTACTGGTAATCAAAGTCAACAGTATTTTCTCATTAATGAAATTATCAAAAAAGTTAAAAATCAAAAGGTATTACATTTGAAATCCATTTGCTATAAATTTCTAATTTCATTGTTTGCATTTGAAGTTAAAAACATCGCGACTCGAGTTATCATCCGTCCTATCATTCAATTCTGGACGATATGTATGTGTCGTCAAAAACAATGCGGGAAGAGTTGAGAAGTTTTTTGACGTTTCTGTGTCCGCACCCAACTCTCAAAGCAAAGTAACGGCAGCCGCGGCTTCTTCTGAATCTCATTTCGTTAACGACAGTCAAACCAACAGTTATGAAGGTTTTGCTTATTATATTAATTAATTGGCTTTTTATTTACTCCCTTTTGATTGCAATTAATATAGAGAGCGGAACCGATAAAGTGGTGATCGGTTTGATTGTTGGCATACTTTTTGGCATTTTATTAGTATTAGTATTGTTTGGAATCTCTGTTGTGTTGTTGTGTCGAAGGCGTCGACAAAAGCATTCAAATCATACCAACAATTGTCAGACAGACGGCACGGAACTCGAAAAATTGACTCCAAATACAGAACCGTCTCTTCGGGTGAATCCGATTCAAAAACCTCCGAGACTTGCGATGAATAACTATAGTTTAGGTCTTGATTCTAATAAAAAGTGTTTTCTTATTTAACTTGTGTTTAATTGTCACAACAGATAAAGAGATACCACAGGTTTGGCTCATAAAACACAACATTAACGGCAACTCAAACGTCTCTCACCATCAAAATTATGCAGAAAGTGATTATTCAACGCAACTGTTATATAATGAAAATTATAGCGACACTTACGACACGATTATCGGTATTTTATCACTTATAGAAGTGACTTAACATCAGATCTAATGATTATTTTGTTTTTTGCTTAGAACCAGATTTAGTTCATCCGTCGGCTTATGTAAGGGAACGACACATTCAAGTGACAGATTTGGATGCAGTGAGCGCTCAGTCGGACGGCACTGAAGTTTAATTTATTAAATTGTTTTGTTAGCAAAATTACATTAATCAAAATATTCATGTATGAAATTACTTTTCATGTATCATCATCTCTACCTCTGTCTCCATATTTATGATTTTATCATTATTTCCGATTATTGGATAAGTTTTAAAAACTTACAGTATTTGTTATACAGTACTATATTATTATTATTATCTATTATTTTAAGTCATATTTTATTACTTAAACAATAATTGTTTACAAATAATTTGCTATTTCGATACTATAACAAGGATTTTGGATCAAATCATTAAACGCCAGAGAAAATACAAATTCAAAGTATAAAAGTATAAAAAATGTTTGTAATATTATAACAATGTTGTAAAAGTATTGCCAATATTTGTAGATTTATTGAACTATTATTGAAAGAAATTGCTAAACATTTGCCAAAATATATAATGAACTGTTTTTTATATAACTAGCTTAAATATTGGATATATTTATCTGTTTTCATAATTATTTACAGATTTTCTTATGAGAATCACTCTTTATTTGTAGACATGTTTTTGAGATATTATTCTCAAATAGTATTGTTAGCCATTTGTGACTATATTTGTATAGAAAATATATATTGTATTTGAAACGCATTTTTGAATAAATATATAATAAAAATAAGTTATAACTTATAAAATAATAATGAATGAATGAACAGACGAGTGAATCCCTGGCCACTCGTATCAATCATGTATGCAATGGCTTTCAATGCTAACGAATGGTGTTTTTTATTGCTGTAAATTCCTATTCGTATATAACTTTCTCAGCGATTGAATACCTGTATAACAATCAATACTAAACAAAAGTTGTTTCACAAGTTTTGGCTCATTTCTATCGTTAGTATTTTTGCGTACATTTCATGAATCATGAGATTTCAGGACATATTATATGTTGAACAGATAATTAACAATTGAATTAAACGTTTAGTTAATCAGACGGCAGTCTCTCAGCGCTTGTTATAACTGTTTTCTTATATATTCTGACGACTAATCACAGGATTAACTGAAAGTGTGTTAAATTAGCACCAAATATACCACAAGACGACACCCTATTAATAGGTGTGCAGCGAATGAAGTGAACAATCATTGCATTCATACGTCAAATAACCTCATTTTGGCCGTGAATTAGGCGAACGAATAGAGTTATGGAGTTATGTATGTATTTGTGCTGTAATTTTGAAACCAATTAAGGAATCAAATGAGTGTAGGAGTGAAGAGCAGATGTGCTTTCATTCCCAACTTATTTACCACTTCTTCACTCCTTTTTTCCCCACTTCTTTGTCTTCTTCTCACTTCTTCTTCCAATAACTGTTTTATAACTAATTGTCTGTATTTTGCAAATATTTTGGTGTGAAATAAGTGAATAATTTTATATTTCGTTGTAAATTGATTCCCGAAACAAACGCATCATTTGTTGGGAACCATTAGAAGTTTGACAAAATGGCTAAAAAACTTAAGAGATTTTTGATTGTGTTGGACGACGAGTCTCTCCTCTACTTTCCCGGAGCCTTCTTGACGGGCAAAGTACTGCTCGAACTCGAAGAAGACACGCCAGCCATCGGTTGTTCTCATTTATATGTTATGTTTATTAACTCTTTCTATAATAATTGTGTTCAAACGGATGAATAGGTCTTTATTTTCATATCGTTGGCGAAGGAGTGGTCAGACTTACCAATAAAGGACGGGTCGACTCAACCGATAAAGAAAATTACATTGATTTTCGTATGAGACTATTGGGCGATAGTTCAGCCAAAAGTGGTCTGTTTTAGTTATATTTGAGATTAATTTCTATATTTAAATCCTGTTTTGATATTTGCTTTCAAACTGAGGTTTATATTTATTACTAATTTTCAAATCTTCTAAATTAGTGAATCATTTTCAAATTTCTTAAATTACATTATATTGTAATGAAGTTTCGAAAATACTTTTACAATACTTTTTCCATACTTATCCATACTTTTTCAATATATTATAGTATAACTACCAAAAGAATAGCCCATAAGGTCCTGATCATTAATTATTATATAAACTATTAAATTAACTTATATTATTTAGTACATTTAAATTAATAGCCTAATAAACTTTATTATAACAATCTAATTAGCTTACAAACAAATTTATATAATGTTAACTAAATGCTTAAAATTTAAATAATCAAATATGGCTTATAAACAAACAACTAGATATTTGACAATATTTGTAATTATTTGGTGAATATAATTAAGATTATATGCTTTAATAGTAATGACAGTATTATTTACAACACATCGCAAATAAAAAAACTCTGAAGGCTTTGTTTGGGACGATATCGAGTGGGTGTTTGAATACCTAAAAGAATTGCTTTGAATTATATGTTATGTATTTCTGTCTTCATAACTGAATGTCTTAATGCATTACTCCCTTCTCGTCCGCCCGTTATTATACGCTATCGAATAATATCCTATTCTTCATTACAATAGCATAACTGGAATAATAATTATATTTAATTAATTTCATTTGAATCACACCTTTAATAATGAGATCATATATTGGGTTACAGAAAGTGGAAGCGTTTACAACGGCTCGACTGTAAACAGCGGAAGAATCTTAGTCTTGTCTCCCGGTGTCCACACATTTCCATTTAAGTTGGGTTTGCCATTAGGTCTTCCCTCAACATTCCTCGGAAAACACGGTTGGGTTCAGTACTTCTGCAGAGCAGAGCTCAGAGAACCCAATGGTCTGATCCATAAGAATCAACAGGTTTTTGTCATCATGAGTCCAATAGATCTCAATTTAGAGCCACAACTCTTAACAGTAAATTTCGATTTTATATCAAATTCTGTGTTAAAATGATTAACAAATGATTTCAAATTGAAAACAATAGCAACCATTTCATTGCGAACTCGAGGAGAAGATTGGGATGTCTTGTATGAGCGGCGGTAAAGTGATGTGTAGAGTGAGGTTAGACAGAGGCGGTTATGTGCCCGGAGAGAGCATTTGTATTAACGCTATCATCGATAACGATAGCAAATGTGTTATTAAGAAAACTCGTGCCGTTTTGACAGAAGTCAGTATTGACTTAATATATGATTTAGATATTAATTTTTAATCAAATAAATTTAATTCATAGACTATTCAATACACGGCTAAGAATAAAGTGGTGTTCACTGAGACCCGAGAGTTGGCCGCTATGGAGAAGGCAAAGATTGGCGCCAATTGTGCCGAACAGTGGAAGAATGAGCTCTTGTATATACCACCCATTCCTCCAACTAATCTAAGGTTTAATATTAACTCTAATTTTCTGAATTACTAATCAAATAGCAATAAATTTTCAATTGTTTAATAGGGGCTGTCATTTGATTCAAATCCAATATGATCTTTATGTGAGTATTGAATATTGAATATGGTGCAATTGATACCAAATTTGTCAGTCAACTAATATAAACTAATATGAATTGTTTGTATTTAGTTTATAATAACCCCGAAAGGCGCGAATAAGGCGGTGAGATTGCAGTTACCGATAATGATGGCCACTTATCCCATCAGGAATAGTGACGGAACACTCAAGAGAAGGAAAGGCACATATTATCCGTCCACACTTCCCACGACCCGTCCCTGGCTGTCCACAAATGAAGGCAAACTCAAATAGTTATTACAACTCTATTATGTCATCACTTTCTTCCCGTTATTAATGTTTTTAACCTAAAAATTGTTAATTTTGTGCGAATTCTAGTTTTGTATTAAATATGAATTAAGAAAACAATTCTCATTTCATTAAACACTTACACATTAATTGTATGATTATTTTAACAAAATATATTGTAAATAAAATAATGTTATTTTAAAATTTCATTCATTTTATGATTAAATCAAAATAATATGAATTAAATTTCGTTTGTTTAAAATATTTCAATCTTTATTTTAATTAATAAATAAATAATATATTTAATACAAAGTTATTTAAGAACAATTTGGGAGATATTACATTTGAAGCAAAACTACATACCGTCCAAAGTTATGAATAAAATTATATATAAAATATTTAGTTTTATGTGAAGTTTACGTCAACTCAATAAGATTTATGTTAGAAATTGTGGCTATAAAATGAAGACTAGATCTGGAAATAGTATGTTTGGGTTGGGGTTTGTTTTATACGGCATTATTATATAAACAACATTTTCTAATAATATTTTTATGAACTTATTATGAGTTTAATAACTTTATCACAACATATTTCAATCACTTGTTATAACTCGCTATCATTTTTTGTTGAGAATTTATGTTAATTTAATGTCAAAAATTGTGGAAAGAATTTGTTCATTAAAATTTATAGAGTGGTTAATATGTTTGATCAAACATTTCTATTATATTGCCAATTATTACTTGATTTACCATTATTTAAACCCACCATAAAAACTAACAAAAGTAACATAAAATAAAATTATATTAGAAATTGTCAATTTAAATCATATCGATTGAGGGAAGTTTAACCATGGTGGTTATGATAATTCACATACACTAAAATGAATTTAGAAATTGTTTTGTTTTTGTCCAGACAATGACTAAAACGATCCCATTTTAGCGAAAACCTATCATTTAATGTTGAAATAAGTCCTAATAATACAAAGTCTGGCGGATATATAGTTAAGTGAAGTGTTTTTTGGGCTAATTATACGATTATATGCGTCACAAGAGTCTTGAAAAACCAGTTTTGAAGACTTAACTAATGATTTTCTCGATTCCTCAGCCATATTGTGATTCTTCCGCATTAATAAACACTTTTTACTTAATCTTTAGTTTTATTTTCAATTATGGATTAAAAGGTATTTTAATATAAATTAGGATTTCGTTTGACTCGAAATGTAATTTGTTTTTGAAGTTTAAATTATAGATTGAATACAAGTTTTGATAATCTCTGGGTTAATGATCACAACATATACTCACATGTATATCAATGTTTGTAATACAACAACAATCATAATATTATTAATATCTAATATATAAATATTTTGTGCTTTTATTTTTGTTTCATTTAATCGCTAATTACTTAATAACATATCATAATTAAAACCAATGCTTAAAAATGTCATTAATTATAACGCAAACCACTTTTTAAATCAATGATTTCTCAATTAATTAAGAAATCAAGTGATGAAAAGAAATTTAATTAATATTGAGATAGTTTTAAAATTAAATACATTTTCAAAATCATTACTTAAAGTTTTATTATAAAAAACAAGTTTTATAATAATAAGTAATGAACTCTTCAATTGATTTGAACGAAACAAACGCTAATAATAACAACAATAATAACATAGAAATGGATGACAACTCTTCCCTCAATGAGAAGACCACTGAAGACATGATTGAGAAACAAATGGCCAAAAATAAATCCAAGATATCATCAAACGATACCTTAAGACTCAAATTCCTCAGGAGTTCTAACTTTTTAAAATTGAGGTAAACTTTAAATTTATGTTATTATCAATATCATTATTTTATAAGTTATTTATTGTGATATAAATGACACTTATATTGCTATCGTATTTTTGCTTTTAAAATACCTTTTAGATAAATGTATGAAATTATATGTATATATTATATGCTGTATTAGATATTAGGAAAACTAAATATTTTCACGTTTACATAATGTAATGACATTTATATAATTATTATTTGAGATAATAATCATTGTATTCATTACGTTATATTTCACAAGAATTAAGAAAATGAATACACAATAAGTTATAAATATTTTTGCATTCAATTTCTATTTCAATGAAAAAGTTTATAAAACAAAGACTTTTCTCACATTTACATCAAAAAACACATTTCGTTTCCTTTATTCCCATAAATTATTCAAACAATCGGTTATATAATGAAAATATGTATTGAATTGAGTTTGTGATGAAAGAGGACCGGAAGCCTAGGAATTGGGAAAATCATGACATGAGAGCAATTGATTGAATTAATTGCTTAGATTTGGTTCACATAAAGAAATACTTTGTTAATATGGTATTACTGAACATGATTTGGGTTTTAATATTTTTTAATTGATTTCATTATAATTTTATTGTTAAGATATGGTAAAAATTTGCTGAAAAAATAGGACAAACAAATCACGATTTTTTAAATCAATAAATAATTGAGTGAACGTTTGGTTTGAGTTTATCGAGCCTTAAAATACATTAAATAAGTGATTATTAACTAATAAAGGTAACATTCATTTTAATTAACTTACACATACTTTCATAGCAAATGATAATTAAGTGTGAAATTCAAATCTGTTTTAAGGCATTCAAACAAATAATATTATTAATGTGTGAAACAATAAAACAAAACTAAAAACAAAGAGAAACACAATTTATTTATAAATATTTATAAATCAAATGCCAGTTATATAAGTCGTTATGAATTAACCTGATTATCAAATTGCAATCTACATTACAATGTATATGTGAAAATAATCATAATAAATTAAAACTAAACCACTAACTCCTTAAGGCAGCTGTTTATGTGAAAAATTTTATTAATAAAAGGTTATTTTTAAGTGAATTAAATTAATACAAATATTTAAAACATTAAAATAAACGAAATTAATGGGTTTAGTATAGTATGAGAATATATTTAAAAGTATTCAATCATTGATTGGGTGCTATCGAAAGGTTTATAGCTTCACATCAATCGAAATACTCCTGTGAACCAACATTTCTATCATTATTTTTATTAAACAAATTCTTATGTTATATAACATAAAATATATTTGCAAACTAAACATAGTTTTCACAAACAGTGTCTTCAAAACATGTTTCTTTGAGAAAATGTTCATTCATTGAAGCTTTTCGTCTGAATTTAATATTTATTTTTCTATCAAATGTTGATTTTATGACTGCATTACAAATCTATTGGATTTTGCAAAACTATTTTAATGAAAGATCAATGACTTTGTCTTTGATCTAAATTATTATTTCTATCTTATTATACGTTCAAAACTTGCAAATATATTTATAACTTTTCGTTTCAATTATTGCTAACAATTAATATTTTGTTTGTAAATCAAAAGATGGCTTTTATTTTCCTATAATTATCGTTTGAATTCTTTACTTTTGAAATCAATTTTATATTTCATTTGAAGTGAAAATAATGAAAGGAGCGGTCATTTTGCTAATAATTATAGTTTTCCATACGTTTTCGTGCTTTTAAATGAAGACTAAACCTAAAACTGAGAGCACAGTTAGCTTTTGAGTTCCCAAATCGTGATGCCGTCCGTGTTTTTTGAATGCCTTTACGCCTAAATAGTTGAGTGTAAAAATGTGCGGGATATCTGACTTATGAATGTGAGACAAACAACATCTCCGGTATTACAAACAATAATATGCTTTTAATGTATCGACTCATTAGTATTTCATGCAATCATTTTCACATTAATCACAAAATAATCGCATTAGAAGTTTATATACTATTTTTGGCAAATTGTATTCACTATAGGATATTATATAAGTATCGCTAAACAAAAATAGTCAATCAATCTTTGGTTCATTTAAAGTCATTAATCGATAGTTTATGTGAAATCTATTCCTCGTTTTTTAAATTTCAAAAACCATTGAAAAGTGATTTTTTTTATTTAAAAACATCTTTTGTTCAAAAATCTCTTCTTCGAGACAAATACTCTTTTGATTCCAATGACTGATTATTAATGAAATTCACATTCAATTCAACATATATTTGCATTCATTTTAATTTTAAATGAAATTTTTTTGCTATGAAATAAATAACTATTTAATGTTTTCAATGTATTATCTTTTGGAAAGTTTCTATTTATAGGCACTCATTATATTCAATGAGATATTATATTATTCAACAAATATATTAATAAAATCACTGAAAAATTCCTCTCTCTCTCTCTCTCTCTCTCTCTCTC